GTTTGTTCAGACTCATATGGGACAAATGAGACTTCGAAATTTCCACAGACCACCGTTAAGAAGATTCAGTCATGGTCCACTTGCCCATCCTGGACCTCATTCTGTCTTACCATTAGTGAAACATATCAAAAAGAAGTCTAAGGTACGTGCCATTCTTGTTTTTAATTAATTATAAATACAATAAAAATTGTAATATTTGTATATTAGCAAAGAGAACAAGAAAGAATCGCATCCGGTGGAGGTGATGTCTTCTTCATGAGAACTGCTGAAGATTTAACAGGCAAAGATGGTGAATTAGTACTCGTCGAGTTTTCTGAAGAACATCCTCCTTTGATGAATCAAGTAGGGATGTGCTCTAAAGTGAAGAATTATTATAAAAGAAAGGCGGGTAAAGATCAAGGACCACAAAAATATAAATACGGTGAAACTGCTTATGCACACACCAGTCCTTTCCTCGGAATTCTTACACCTGGTCAAAGTATACAAGCGGTTGAAAATAATATGTACAGAGCGCCAATCTATGAACACAAAATTCCGGAGACAGATTTCCTAATCATAAGGACAAGGTATTGTAATCAAATTTACTTATTTATACAATCATAGAATAGAGTATCGTGTAATAAATAAAAATTTTTATATACAGACAGCAGTATTACATTAGAGAAGTGGATGCTATATTTGTTGCCGGTCAAGAGTGTCCGTTGTACGAAGTACCGGGTCCCAATTCAAAGAGAGCTAATAATTTTGTCCGAGATTTCTTACAAGTATTTATATATAGATTATTTTGGAAATCTCGCGATACACCTCGTCGCATTAGAATGGACGATATTAAAAAAGCGTTTCCTTCGCATAGCGAAAGTAGTATTAGAAAACGTTTGAAGTTATGCGCCGATTTCAAACGAACAGGTTAATTTCACAAATGTAATATGATAGAGTTAAAAAAGAAATATTAACAGTATTATGATTATAATAAATATTACGATTCATCGTAACAGGTATGGATTCCAATTGGTGGGTTATAAAGCCGGACTTTAGATTACCGACAGAGGAAGAGATCAGAGCGATGGTGTCTCCTGAACAGTGTTGCTCTTACTTTAGTATGATAGCGGCAGAACAAAGATTGAAAGATGCTGGTTACGGTGAAAAGTTCTTGTTTACACCTCAAGACGACGACGACGAAGAGATGCAATTAAAGATGGACGATGAAGTTAAGGTTGCACCTTGGAATACAACACGGGCATACATTCAAGCTATGAAAGGCAAGTGTTTGTTACAACTGGCAGGACCGGCTGATCCAACAGGTTGTGGCGAAGGTTTTTCTTATGTTAGAGTACCAAATAAGCCAACAATTAGCAAGGTAAATATATTTAATACATTATTTTATTATATACTTTCTACTTTTATAATATTAACATTAATAATTATAATAATTAAAATATTAATAAAGGAGGAGCAAGAAGCACAGCCAAAGAGGACAGTAACCGGGACTGATGCTGATTTAAGAAGACTATCATTGAACAATGCAAAAGCGTTGCTCCGTAAATTCGGCGTCCCGGAAGAAGAAATCAAAAAGTTATCACGATGGGAAGTTATCGACGTAGTTAGAACATTATCGACAGAGAAAGCAAAAGCTGGGGAAGAGGGTATGACAAAATTCTCGAGGGGAAATAGATTTTCCATTGCCGAGCATCAAGAGAGATACAAAGAAGAATGTCAAAGAATCTTTGATTTACAAAATCGTGTATTGTCCTCTAACGAGGTTCTAAGCACAGACGAGGGTGAAAGCTCGGAAGAGGATAGCTCCGACATAGAGGAAATGGGTAAAAATATAGAGAACATGCTTTCGAATAAAAAAACTAGCACCCAATTGTCTCTCGAACGGGAAGAGCAACAACGACACGAATTACGAAAAATGTTAATGGGCGAAGTGCATGAACAGGATAAGAAGAGTAAAGAGAAGAAGAAAGATGACGAGGAAGATAGTCCGGTAAATAATTATAACGCGCAACAGGGTAGAGTTCTTAAGATTTATCGAACGTTTCGAAATCCGGAGGGTAAAGAATTTACTAGAATAGAATTAGTGAGGAAACCTGCGGTCATAGACACTTACATAAAAATTCGAAATTCGAAAGATGAAACGTTTATTAAACAATTCGCGACGCTGGACGAAGCGCAGAAAGAAGAAATGAAGAGAGAAAAGCGAAGAATTCAGGAACAGTTGAGAAGAATCAAAAGGAATCAAGAACGGGAACGTATGCTCGGTGGTCCAATGACTGGAAATAATATCTCGTCGAATAATATATTCGATCGTAGCTGTAACAATACCCCAACCACTACATCCTCGAACAGTATCCTTCCATTCTGTAATTCATTTCAATCTATTTCTCCTGCTTCTAAACATCCTAAACCTGAAACCTCTCCTTCCAAACGAAAGAAACCTAAACTTAAACCAGATCTTAAATTGAAATGCGGTGCTTGCGGTAACGTAGGTCACATGCGTACGAATAAAGCTTGCCCTTTGTATCAGAATAGCATAACAACAGCACCGGTAAATGTTGCAATGACGGAGGAACAAGAGGAAGAAATTGAAAAGCAGCTTAACACGGATGACCAGGATCTCGTTAACGTTGATGGTACCAAAGTGAAGTTATCTTCTAAATTAATTAAGGTAATCTTTATTTTTAATATTGATTTAATCATTTCAGTGAATTACAATCATACGTTATTTTGTAATTTTAATATTTTTAGCATGCTGAGGAAATGAAGAGGCGTACCTTGCTATTGAAAGTGCCTAAAGAGGCGGTGAATTCAAAGAAACGAAGAAGAGCTACCGGAGATGATCACTGTGATTATCTTAAACGACAACAGAGACCAGCTAATAGACGTCGAACTGATCCTGTTGTTGTTATGTCCACGATGTTAGAAAGTATACTCAACGAAATGCGAGACCTGCCTGATGTTCAACCTTTCTTGTTCCCTGTTAACGCTAAAGTATGTTTTTATTTATAAACTTGCTTCGAAATTATTTTTAATTCACTGTTTAATTTGTGTGTAAATTTATGAATCTTTCAACAGGCTGTTCCTGATTATTATAAAATTATACAACGACCTATGGATTTACAAACTATACGTGAGAATCTGAGATTAAAGAAGTACCAAAGTCGAGAAGAATTCTTAGCGGATGTAAATCAAATTGTTGAAAATTCAACATTGTACAATGGATTAAAGAGTTCGTTGACAGTGGCAGCTAAACGTATGTTGGAGACTTGCGTGGAAAGGCTTGGTGAAAAGGAGGACCGTTTAATGAGATTGGAAAAAGCAATTAATCCTCTTCTGGACGATAACGACCAAGTTGCTCTTACTTTCATCTTGGACAATGTTGTTAATAATAAATTGAAATCTATGGCAGAAGCTTGGCCATTCTTGAAGCCGGTAAATAAGAAATTAGTGAAAGATTATTACACTGTTATTAAAAGGCCTATGGATTTGGAAACGATATCTAAAAAAGTTTCTGGTAAGATAACTTATCTAATGGCGTTAAATATTTTTCATTTTATGATACCTATTATTTTACTGTATTTTATTCAGCTCATAAATATCATAGCCGGCACGAGTTCGTCAGGGATATTGAACAAATTTTGGAAAATTGTACAATATATAATGGGAAAGAATCGCCGTTTACACAGAAAGCAGAGTTAGTTGTAAAAATTTGTAAAGAAACATTAGACGAGGTAATTATGAATTCTTTCTCTCTGTGCATTAATCCTGATTTAATTCACGTTTCGTACTAAAATCACATTGTAATTTATAGTACGATGAACACCTGACACAATTGGAGAATAACATATTATTGGTACAAAAACGAGCGATGGAACAAGAAGACTATGATCCTTCGTGGCTGGGACCGGACGAAGAAAATTATACTATTGTAGAACCAGAATTTAGAGGGGTATTACTCCTACTTACCAACATTTTCATATTTCCCTTCTTTTACCAAAATCTTATGGTGTTTCCTATAGAGCCAAACGAGTTCACCGGAGAATCCATTCGGGAAGTCAAATGTGGATGATTTTGATTTCGTGGATGTTGAGGGAGATACAGAAGGTGACGGTAGTAGAAGTGCAAATTCGAAAAAGAAAGATGTGCTGGAAGAAGGTAAAGTAAATTTAATTAATTATCTTATAATATGCAAATTTTATATAGTTACAATAAAAAGAAAACGTTTATATAAATCCTGTTAGATTTACAATTCTCAAGTGAAGACGAGTTTGACGAGGTTCCCTTTGGTACGGATGAACAGTCGGAAAACGCTGAAATGGAACCACTTGAACTGAACGAAGTTAGGGAAGGTGGAGTAGTACTTGCAGATGATGATAGTCAACAGGCAGCAGAAGCAATGGTTCAATTGGGTAATGTTGGTTTTTATATGGCGGATCAACAGTTGCTTCAGCAAGGTTGGTGATCATAAATGAATTTATAAGGTTGCAATAGAATTAATTAAATATCACACGATTTCCTTTTTTCCAATTATAGATGAAAGTATGGACGTCGATCCAAATTACGATCCCTCAGATTTCTTACTGGCTGGTTTACCTGCAAGGGAAGAGAAAGGTGAAAATAAGATACAGGATGATTTAGCTGTATCTGAAAGTGATGACGATGCAGAGAGCAGTGCTCAGCAAAAACAAAAAACTCCGCAACAAATATCGCAACCAGATGACGATGTCGGTGGTGATTTGTGGTTCTAAAGGAAATTTGTTTCTATTAAGTAACAATGTTATAATATAATTTATTTCTTAAATCAAAAGACTTATATACAATATCATAAAATATAACGAAGATATATTTATTTCTTATAGAAATTAATGATGTTTTTGTATAAAATAGTATATTATGTATATATATACACACACACATGTAAATACATAATAGAACATTGTTTTTTAAGTTTCACGCGTATTTTATTTGTTTAATATTGTATTCTTATAGTCAATAGTGCATTCTAACCAAAATTATATTTGTAGTATTTGTTTATCTCAATTAATATTAGGAAATAATGATCACCGATGCAGATTTAAAAACTAAAATGGGTTACATAAAAGAAATATGTTCCATCCCTACACATTCGTTACGGGATCAAGATAAAATACTCAGTAACATAATACATGTTACGAGAAACGCATTACAAGATCAACTATTAATTTACAATCCAGATAATATTATTCTATGTACCCTCAAACTTTTCTTTAATTATAAAGAAAATGTATCTGTCACCGATAACGTTTGCGAATGGAAACGACGAAAGAAACGTCGCCTTGCCAAAGAATGTTACAACAGTTTATTGCAAGTATATGTTCCTGAGAAATCTAAAGAAATTCTTGAAGCTATAATTAGTATGATTTATGAGGATAAACTTTGGGAATTCGAAAGCTTTTGTTTCGAAATTATGTGCGATCTATTGGAATATGGTATCAGTGGAGCGTTATTGATTCATGCAATATGGGACAGAATTGAAGTTGCAAATATAAACATGGAAGATACAAGGAAAATCATAAGAATATTATATGAATTGCTAGATGTTTATGATTGGCCAGATAATTATGATACAGTGATGGTTATTGAAAGAATTTTAAATCTTTTTTATATTAGTATAACTAGTAGACAATATTCTCCCAATTCATATGCGATACTCAAAAAGGGTTTAGAGGTGTGCCTCATTAATATTGTGAAACACGTGGTAAATGATCATCTTTTAATCATAGTGCAATATATGTGTTCATGGGCTGTTGAGAAAGGAATGACAAATGAAATTATTTTAGAGTTTGGCAGTACACTTGAATATACAGCTTACATGCACGAGGTAACATTATTTGAAAAGACTTTAACGCCAAAGGTATTTCCATTACTGATGCAAATGATAGCATCAAAAAGTAAAATAACTAGTTTATTGGGTAATAGAGTTATACAATATTTATTAGACAGACAGGACAATAGAATGAATTTTGACACGCCTAAAATATTTTTTGAAGACACTCAATTTGATCTGAAAATAGGTAAGTGTCTTAAAGAAGATAAATTGTTTTGCAAGCTACATAGAGAAATTTTACACGACAGTCTTTTAAAAAGCATCATAAACCATTGTACGTCGCGTATGAATTTAGAAACGACATATTGTACAATTTGTTTAATCGCAACCGAAGTTCCATGCGGATTTACAGCGGCAGCTTTAGTTTGTCTTATAATGAATTTGCAAGACTTAACCTTAAAAGAAAGCAAACGTAATACCGAGGTATCATATCATTTACATGCTACAGTAATATCAATCATGTCCCTATTATGTTGGATTCATAAAGCTAAAGTATTTTATGAATATGTAAATAAAATAATGATGGAAAGAGCACAGTGGGCTCCACATTTAAATCCTCCTATTCAATCTCAATATAGTTTCGCAGCGCATCATATTCTTTGGAATAAACCAGAGTTATTTTTCGTTGACTGGGAAGCACGGTACGGTTTGTGGAAATGTTTTCGGTTGCATGAGAGCGACGACGATATTCATTCATAAATATTCATTCATTACATATTATGTTATCACTCTACAATTATAATAAATTTATGTATATAAATAAATTCAATATAAGATTAAGCGAAGATTGTTTGACAACATAAATGCGACGAAGTAATGATCGATATGAATCATCGATGTATTAATACCAATTTTTTTTTTTAAATTTTAAGCGTAATTTTAAAATAATTGATTAGAATATTACAGTCACAAAATTATACAAGTTATTATTACCAACAAAATGGCTGTTTTAATATTTATTACACAGTACATAGAATGTTACATAAATACGAAAAGAAAAGACAATATAAATTAACACTGGCGAAGCGCTAATTTAAACAAATATTTTATTACGATCTGTTTTTTTTTATACAAGATAGTGTCATTAGAACTGAAAGTTCATAAATAAAAGGCGCGACAATTTGTCTGAAGTTATTCATATTTGTTCGTCCATCTTACAACCACTCTGAATACTTTTTGATTCGTGAAGTATTTGTTTTATAAACTATAAATATAATTTAGAATTAGACATGAACTGTTTGGAGAATGACGAAATATTTTTTTATTACTCATTAAAAATTTTCAAAATATAGTGACAATGCAATTAAACGCATTCTTTTAAATGAAATTTCTACTGCAATTATTAAAATCGTATTGTTTACATAACGAACTCCAGCTACAGTGGATTATTTTCATCAAACCGTCAAATTGCGTTGTTAATAAAGGTTAATTTTTTAAATAAAATATAGTACTGTTTGCTTCTTTGTTGTTAGTATATATTACCTGCGTTTTTACAATTAAATTTTAATTAATAATTTGGACTGCATGAATGGTAAACAAACGTTAATTTTAATGATATTACATAGAATGAAAGTCATGTAAATAATAATCACTGCAAACCTTTATTTTTTCAGTTACTTAATAATTTCTAGAGAAATAATGTCTGGAGAACAGTTTTCATTAGTTTGGAATAGTTTTCCAAGAAATTTATCATCAGGATTGTACACATTATTAACCGATGAGCAATTAGTTGATGTAACCCTAGCTGCAGAAGGCCAAATATTACGTGCACATAAGTTAATATTATCAGTTTGTAGTACATACTTCAGAGAACTATTTAAGGTATTTTCTAGTTTATTTAATGTAATACATTAATTCTTGATAATATTAAAATACTTGCAATATAGGAAAATTCTTGCAAGCATCCAATTGTGATTTTAAAAGATGTTAATTACCGGGATTTATCAGCAATGCTTCATTTTATGTATCAAGGAGAAGTTAACATTAAGCAGGAAGATATTGCTAGTTTTTTAAAAGTTGCAGAAACTTTGCAGATAAAGGGTTTAACTACAGAAACTGAAGAGGTATGTCCAATGAGATCTAATGTTTTAATTGTGTAAAAAAGGAATTTTTATATCATGTTGTAGAAACTTGAGGAGGCTTTATCGAAGAATGCGCAAAACTTGGATAAAATATTTAATGCAGAACAGAATAATTCTGTTCGATCAGATTTAAATATTCATAGCTTTGAAAAAGCTAAACAGAATCAACAATCTCAGGGACAAGAAATATCAGAAAGTAATTTTATTGAGAAAGATTCGAATGTCAATAATGTATGCTGTCAGCAACATTGTACTTCTGATTCAAGTTATAATATACAAGATATTCACATGACAAGAAGCGATTGTTCTAGAGGTATCGAGCCAGAGTGTGATGAAGAGGAGCCATTAGATTGTACAGCTGATATAAGTCATGTACAATCAAAGCATGAACCATTAGATTATACCCTTGATATTGATGCAGAAACTGGTTATAAAACATATTTGCCTAATGAACCATTTCATAAACCTGAAGAAAATGTACATAGAAAAGGTATTATATTAATGTACTTCAAAATTCGTGGAAAGTTTTACAAATATCAATGTTTAAGATAAATCAATTTTGCAGATTTTGTACCAGACATGCAGTTAGTTCCCTACAGTCAAAATGTGCAATCTCAATCATTTGGTATGTTTCCAATCTTCATTTCAACTATATTACATTTATCACTAGCGTTTTATTTGTTTATAATTATTAGGTTTAAATAATATGACTGGTCTCGAGGGTGAATTTCCATATGAACTTGGCTGTCATAATAAAGGTCGACGAACAGTTAAAGGTATTTCTAATAATAGTCTACCATTGGAAACAACGTTGCGCGTTGTATCCGAATTGGGACCAACTTTACGTATGGAAAGAGGCAAAGTTATTCGAATGTATTCATGTCCATGGTGTCTTCGGCATTTCACGCGTAAGGAGAATCTAAAACTTCATGTACGTTATATTCACGGTCCGCTTGAAAGTCTAACTTGTGAGTTTTGTGGCAATAAATATAAGAACAGTAATAGTTTACGTGTACATTCGTATCTCTATCATAATCCGAAACGAGATAAACACAGTAAACCACTTGTCGATGGTGGTGCATGAAATTGAAGCCTGCAGTATACATTTTGTTATATATTAAAAATGTAGTAACGCATGAGAGTATATAGCGTATGCTATAATATTGGACAATATTATTTCATTCATAACCAAATAGGTCTGACATCTGTGCGCGATTAGTAACAATGCTGCTAAAAGTAAAATTATTTAATATTTTTTTATTTAAGTCTAGTTTAATCAGTAGACCGTTTAAAAAATGTTACTGATTTAAAAGAGTAGAGTTTTTTATTGATTGATTAATGAAACTAATTTAAATATATTAGGCCTTATGAACAATCATATATTTTATATGAAACTGATTACTGACTGTAAATACATATATATATTAACATACCATTTTGTAAATATATATACATTTTTCACAAAATAAAGCGACTGATTTGTATTAATCATTGTCTGTGTACTTTTCTTTATAAATATCTCTGATACAAAATGAACTTCATGAACTAATAATATTCCACTTCGCGAAGTTATATTGATAAATAAAATAATAAAAATTTATCTCATGATATTTATCTCGTGACAAAAAGAGCGCTATAAATAGCGCACTAGCAACAAAGTTCTGAACTACGAATACAGTTTCCGGTGTCGATATTTTAGGACATAGCTCGGTCGGTATTTTATCAATCTAGCTCGGTCGATATTTTACCACTACAATTAATTGTTTGGTTAGGTTTCACCACTTTGTTGCGAGATGGCGCTGAGAGCGCTTTCTGTTAGGAAGTATCTTTACCTACAAAAATTATATCTCCTTTGAAATTCGGGAAGAGCAGTCTTATATATTTTTCGTAATTATTAATAATAAGTGAATTATTTAGGTAGAATATTTTAAATACTGCACTCTGTATACATATTTATATACGTATCATTTGTATTCAAACATGTAAAGTCAAGTATAGATAGTGGGTGGGCATGATGTGCATGTATGATTGCATATGCTCTTCTTGTAGGTGTAATCGCAATTACATTCTACGAGGGTGGGTGTAGCCTAGACCCTACTCAACGATCTCTTGAAACAAGATACGTTACTAAAATGAACGCACAACAATTTACATTGAAAGCAGTATTATCACAAGTGGATTCTTTTTCTTTTACGGTGAATCATTACGAGACGTTAAGAAATGTTTCGGAACAGTTGAGTCTGGGAAAACAATAACAATCAATGTTCACAACATTCTGTCTTGTAAATCCGATAATAAATGACCGATTTATTGCAAATTTTGAACCTGCATTTATTACCGTTCGTTTGGGCCAGCAACAGATTAAAAAAATTATTTAAAAACAGAAATAAAAACTTATCAATACAAATTTTTTTCCAATTTATCCGGAATCGGTAAAAAAGAAGCTGTACCCTTTACCTACAAAATCCTCGTTTATATGCGCGGTAAACGATCGATTATCTGATAATTCGCCAACCTGGACCAAAGGCCGAAAGATCCGACGTGTTATCTCGGCAGACAGCCTATAATTAAACCGTGATTGGATTCGATCTCTTGCTCGATGATAAATCGAGCGATTCTTCGGTGAATGTTACGAATCCCTGCGGATTCCTAGAGGGTCATGGAGGGGAATCAAAGAGACGAGGACAGTGCCATCGATGTACTTCCACTGTATTTCATCTGGCTAGCGTCTGGCTGGCCTTTTGCAAGGGGTCAAGGGTCAACTCTTTCGAACATAATCGTTCATACACGACGCTCAGTAGTACCGTGGATTCCTCGCGATTTGTATAATTACCAGTCACTCCGCGAACTTTAATTACAGTTTACATTATTACAATTACCAGTCAGTTAACCGCTCGAAGGAACCATCCAAGAATTATGACCGCCTTCAACATCATGGACGTTCTTGGCATTTCGTTGTTGATACACCTCACCTTTAGTCTGATGTTGTTGGTCCTTTCGGTACCGCTACTACTGTTCGTTTATCCGGGTAATTATTTTAAGGGTGTCCTTCCTATGGTGTATATTGATCAATAAATATTTCAATACTGGCTTTCGACTAACATAAACATTTTTTTTCTTTTAAATAAAAATAAATTTTAGATTTATCACCGATCTAACGTTATTAATAGGCTAATAATATTACTCTATTCATTTAAATTTAATATCACACCGGGCTTGTATAAAATTTATTTATTCATTTTTACGCCTTTTTTATCTTATCTTGCTAAAAATTCCTGGCATTCTTTCTAATATTGCATTTATCAGAGAACGCATGCCTCGCGATGCGTTGTCTGTTGATTTGATAGTAAACAACTGATTCTCTGAAATCGTTCTATACAAGCATGATTTTCTCTTCCGAGCATCCGGCTAATTATCGTTACATATTGCACTTTGGATACATGCTTTGTATAATATCAAACAACTTCTATGTGTTGGCCGCTGATACTGTCCAATGAAACGCTTCAAAATTACTTAAATATGTATAAGTAAGAAGATAATTAAAAGAGGCAATTTTCTTTATAATATTATTTTATGGAATATATTTTTTAAAATTTTTCTTCAAGTAGTGGCATGGTCGAGAAAGGTTTGGATAAGTTTCGTCAAATGGAAGTACCCAAACGTGGTGGTAGTAGAAGAGAACAGTATACGCACTATTCTGGATCAATTCCGAAATCACGTAGGTAGACAAAAATTACTATTAATTTTTCACCGAGTGTTATTCGTATCATAGATTTTTATTTTATATTTCTTTTTAATTTAGGGGATTTATACTTTGCTTATTCAAGCACGTTCAATAGCGGAGAATATTCGAGGACATTTAATTCACCTGACATCGTCGAGAAGATTCCTTCGAGCAGGTTTATCCACGAGATGGGGCCTCTACGTGTGGAAGGATCTTGATTATTTCTCTATCGATAATCATTTGTTAAATTCACCATGCTCGTTCAGAGGTCGCCCTATCACAGAGTCGAATATTCAGGTCGGTTTTATGCATTGAAATTCATCACCTTTCATGTTTGATCCTATGAGACTTAAGATTGTTTCATCTAACTTTTACATCTATATGTAATGTAGCTGTATGCATTAGATTTATGTATTTTAGGACTACGTGAGCGATTTGACCTCGAAATTCTTTCCAACTGGGCAACCACCATGGCAGGTGCACGTGATTAATTGTTTCCTCCGTGGAGAAGAGTACCAAGTGTGTCTGGTGAGGGTCCATCACCTACTGCTTCGACAGGAACACTTAGCATTGGCTGATTTCCTTCCACTAAGATATTCAACCGACGGTTGGTCCTGCCAAGAAACAGACTCTCCTTTTACCAATCTCTACGCCGAGCCTTCTGCCCTTCCAAAGCTCTACCAGAAACTCACCGAGAGCTTCAGCAATTACTGGAACGAGTTCCTCTATAACAACGACCCTAACGAGAGGCCGGAGATCTTGAAGAAGCAGATCGGTATATTTCACTGCGCCAAAATCGGTGTTATAGTTCTAGTTTCTTCGCTGAAAGAGTTGACGAGGTACAGAACAAAGTGATTGAAGATGATAAACGTATGCAATATGAAAGATATGCATTTGCATAAATTTACTCAATCGGCATTGATTTGTATATTTTATTTCAGGCAGTATAGAAAACGAGAGAGACCTGGATTCTTTGCCTTCTTTTCAATCATTCATCGAGAAGCCAGCAAACGAAGTTTCGGTCCTCTGGTATTTCTACGGGCACTCGTGAGATCTCTGAACCCTTTCGAATTAATATACGACGCCATATTGTGGTTCTGGTACCTCGGAGTCACGTTGACCCTGAAAACACCAATACTACTGTTACGAGAGCTTCGAGCCTTGAAATCACGTCACAAGCATTATTATCCAGACACTCTGACATCCGTTTTATGGTATTACGTTCCGTTAATAGTTCTAGCCACCATGGAAGTCCTGTCCATCACGTGGATAGCGATCAGAGCGCCTAAAACGATATTGGAGGAATTATTCTTAAAACATCCACAAACGAATCGTCTTCAGACCACCTCCCCGTGCGGTAGAAAAGTGGTCGCATGGTCCGAGGAGGTTGAATTCGAAATTCTTAGAAAAATCTCTAGTATGACTGGCGCGACTGAGGCTGAGATTCTATTGGCCGTTATGGTCGATTCTTTGAAGGAGTACTTCCGGCATTCAGGGGTTAGGATACCGGACGACGTCCTCGCGACTGGAAAGTTTATTAGCCAGAGATCGATTTTTGTACAGAATCATGAAGCCAGGGGTATTTTGTGCCTCGCACTGCCTACTAGAACTCCGCTGTTCGAAGATGATCTGGTTGAAATCTTACAGGTTAGTATAATATAATAATTGACGGAGATTCTTTGGAATTTTAGAGTATTAAAATACTGGATTTTGAAAATCTTGAAATTTTAGAAATAATAGAACCTCAATAGCCGTGTTTTTAATATCCATCTATATAAAGCGCAAAGACGTCTGTCCGTGTCACGCTGAGACTAGCTAATAACCATTGCGTTTGCGCGTCGCATATTAGCTGCGCGCGCATGCGCCCAACAGTGCGCAATGTCTTTGAAAAGGGCCGATCGCGCAGGTACTATTCAGCGCATGCGCGCCTGACAATAGCTATTTCAGACTTTGACGGTCTATATTTCAAAAATGCGAATTTTCCAGGGGTTGTACTTAGTTCTAATATGATTCAAAGATACTCTACAATCCACATTATTCTACTCGACCCAATTTTCTTAATTTATTACCCCTCTATTATCTCAAACAATTATAGCATTATTTCCCTTTGAATCATGCACACCACTCCCATTACATTCTCATCCTTATTCAATTGTTATCAATCTATTTATATCTCTCGTTGTACGATAATAACCAGAGAACAATAATACCGTTTACTATTAAACCACGTATCAATAAGGGTGTCGTTGAAAGAGTACTATACGTATCTTTCCAGGTCATCCAGAAGAACGTACGAGAGGCGAGATCGAAGCAGAGTGCTATGTATGCTATTACAGCGGCAGAGGCTTCCTTCGGATTGATTTCTTCTTGTTTACCTTCGTTGTTGCTCAAAGTGATGCTAAATCAATTAACGAGAAGGTATTCCCTCTCGTTGACTCACGTCGATGGAGATTTACCTGTGGAAGGTGTCGATACTGTGATGTATTGGAGACCTCCTCAAGGCAACTGTAGTAAATATACTTTTTGTACACGATTAAATATTTTTAAATGAATTCATTAACGCCTATAGATTCATATGAGAGTCAAATTAAACTTACAAGAGTCGAGATAATTGTTTGTTAATTTTCTTTTTTTTACTGCCTTTTTAGATATGTCCATAACATTACATAGGTACGGGAATGGAGTACGTTTGGGCGTAATGGGTGACGCGTTAATTGGCCCTGAACATTCAATTATTACAAGGACCTTCCCGAAAAGTATAGAGAATCTAGCGAACGTGGTTGGTGTACCAAGAACTCCTAGCAGACATTCTACACCGAGCCCAGCCAGTCCGAGCACATCACCGGGCCATTAATATTTGCACGGGGGCTATGCGAAATAAGTAAGAATCATTTACCACGTCGCAATAAATTTCAAGGGGACATTAAAGATAGAAGGAAAAATTTTTCTTATGAAAAAATTCTGATAAATTCTTTCCACTCCGTCTCACAGTATTTTATTTATTCGTTTAATTAAACATTCGATTCCGATAAAAATTAATACCAACAACACACGGCAAGGTTCATTGTATTAAGGTAAAGAAAAAGCTATACGTGTACCTAAATATTGAATGTTGCACCATATTGCGTTACTGATAAACTTAAACTTCTTATCGCTTAGTCTCTTTTTCTCTTTTTTCAATTCATGTTCGTTTACACATTTGTAACTTTATATTAGAAACAAATTAATTTCATTTATCGTGCATTTCTGACGTTATCTATATTAACAGGAATGATTTTTTTCAGGTCACGTGTCTGGCTCCTGGGAAGATAAATAAAATATTCTTTTTATTTTTTTAATTCTTTCAAATAAGAGATTTCACGAAATACCAACTCGTGGAAAGTGATTGAATCGGTTATTAAGATACCAATAAGCCTCTGTAGGGTTTGTTATTTAATCGTGCTGATACAAAGTGAACGATGTTTATAAATATTTACGCGATATTCGCTTGAAAAGAATATTTTTTCATTCTTTTTTATTATTTTATATCTTTTAGAAAGAAACAAAACGAAAGAAAGGAAAAGAATTCATAGTGTTTCGTTATTTTTTTTTTTTTTCTCAGCTCCGTCCTTTTCTGCGCTTTCGTTCTTTTAATTAAATAATTTCATTGCGTTCTTCTGTATTGTATGTATATATTTATATAAATATAAATGTTCGTATCTATTTATATATACGTTATTAACATTTCAGGCATTACAATTCATCGGTAATATATGTTTTTTTCTTTTCAAATTTCATTGAATATACGTTTATCAATTTTTATCCCACGAATAATGCAACTGTAAGGAAGTTAATGCGACAACGTGATTGCCATTGTTGACTAGTTTATACTTGGAAGCATATTATATGTATCCTTCATATAATAATAATTGCCCGGATAATTATTTATATACATATAGTTATTTTAATAAAATATTGGCTATATACAAAAATTCTTTAATAAGTTTTAATTAAAGGAGTATTAAGTACAGACATCAAGAAATGTTTAAGTAAAACACTGATTATATTATAATCCTACGTTTTGTCTTCCTATGAAAATTGTCAAATTGTTTAAACGTTTCGAAAAAGCTGTAAATAATTATCCAAAAGTTGGATGAATTTGTTAATTTTCAATATATATTTATATAACAAGATAACATTGAACTTCGAAAATATTTTATCAACAGTCTCGCTGGAGTCAGCGAACTCTAAATGTTCGATCACGCAATTTTCTACGTTTTTATCTTCTGAAAAAAACGACACGATCACGGCCAGGACGTTTCGTTACAACGATGCGAAATTTATAATGCATCATTTTCGTTTCCACGACAGACTTTTGATTTAGCTATTCGTATATATTGGACGCTATAAGGCAAAAGTTTAGAAGTGTACCTAATTCTGTTTGCACTCCAAAAATTCCTTGCCTTGATTAACACTTTTACGAATACACGAATTTAATCGTTTTTGTTAATTACCGAATACATATACAATTTTCATAGTTATAATAACTGGTCGAATATGAATGTATATGTTATACATATGTATAACTTGTTAAATAATTATCAAGCAACTACTTTCAATTTCATAGTAAAAAGCTTTATCGCTAAAATAATTTTTGAAAAAAGATTCATTTAGCTACTTAGATATTTACTACTTTAGAATGAATGCTATCGATTCTCGATAGCCTGTTTTAAAGAAAATATATATTATTTGAATAAATTTCATAAAAGATATATTTGTCTATTTAATACCTATCGTGCATATGAATCGAAAAATAGAGTAGATTGTAGATTTAAATAATTAAACCTATAAATAAATATACATTACTGTATATTATGTTTGACAAATATCATTATTGATCTATAAATGCTACTATTATCACTGTACGCGAAAATATGACTGTATAATTAAAAATATGGCTAGAAGTAAATTGCTCCCCCAAACATGGAAAAACTAATATAACTAAAAAATAAAAGAAATATAATTATTATTCTAATCCTGATTTTCTGTAACAATAACAAGGAAATAAGTATAAACCAACTAACAATTTTACTATCTATCCTTCCTACGAACAAATTTAAAGAGCGAACCCCTTTAAATAGTTTAGCACCTTCAAAACTAATATAACTTTTTAACATCAGTTAGATTTCAATATCCAGCCGACTACGATGTACCCAACTGGAACGTTTATCAAATTTAATAAAACAAATTTAAGCTAAACAATCTTTCTCACGTTCCATTTCAATAGGACCTTCACCCCAGATCTTCCTATTTTTCGTATAAGGAACAAGCCCTACTAAAAGTCCAGAAACAATGATCCACCCACCAGCCATGTGAAATGACAAATCCCATGAGTCTGTTACATCAAACAACCAGCCAGCCAATGGTGGACCAAGAAGATTTCCAATCCCTTGACACAAGAGGCTAAGGCCATAGGCAGTGGTGAATCTCTCAAGAGGTATCAATTCTACAAGTATAACAGGAGTGAAGCTAAAGTTACTGGCAAAAAACAGGCCAAATGCTGCTGAGGTAACCATCAACAAGTTATAGTAAGGAGTTAATATTGACATTAAAACTGTTGCTATACCACAGGCAACCAAACACCAAGTGTATGTTTTGCTAACGTTCATCCAAGGTTGATCGCCAGCCCAACCAAGACCAATCTGAAAATGAGAAAAAGAAATATAGAATGTTTTAATGATTTATCAGTGTTGATATATGTACCATTCCAATGGTGTTGGTGATGCCGATAATACTAAGAAGATTTGCAGCATCGGATTCGGTGTAACTGTTTCTGGTTAAGTGTTCGGCAAGATAAAAATAAGGCACGATAAACCAAGTAAACAACAAGATCGTTGATAGCGATAGCAATAAAAAGTGTAATTCCAGGAACATTGAGAAATCCATCATACCCTTCAATAAATCTACCAATTCGCTGTACCATTTCTGGAAATGTAAAATATGTCACAAGTTAAGTTACTTAAGTTTCTTGTTATAGGGAAAATGAACTACCTCTTCATTTTCTTTCGCCAATGTAGTCATGCTGTTCCTGTAAATATCAGGACAGCTACTGGCCCTTAATCTGTACTTGTGCAAATTCAGAGCAGCACCACGATACATAACCGAGTTTCTATGAATTCTAATATCCTTGAAATAGTGAGTATTAGTATTAAATTGTCTTCTCAACCATGGGAGTGAATCTGTTCTGACAACACCACAATTCAGTTCTCCTATACCTCTTGACGCAGACTTTACTTTTCGACCTTCGGTTGTCTAATGAGATTATAAAAGAAGAAATAAATTGAGATATAAAACAGGAAGATCTACTTCTGAAACAGAAAAGAGTAACATCTTAATTTACTAACTGTATGTTCAAGTTCTTTGGTCAATAAAGGATTTGCTTCTTCAGATTCCTTTTTAACTATCTTTTTAGTTATATGATTCTTAATGGAATTACACGCTGATCCAGAATGATAATTGTTCGTCGCATGAGAATCTTCACCCTTTGGCCCATCGTTTGCTTGCTTCAACCTTTCAGTCAAAACAAATACAATCAAAATTCCTATTATTTATCAATGATAATTCTAATCGTAGCTTAATAAGAAATTCAATTGTAAACCTCATAGACATTGTAACGACACTCTTGTTGCCAACTTCCCCAACGGATTCGTGTAACTTTTTATCCGAGTAACTTCTACAGGATAGAAGATTGGGATAGTTCTCCAGAATGACCTTGTAGAGCCTTGGATTACTGGCAAGCAGTTCTAATACCTCCACAGGCACCTGTAATTCTCAAAAACGTATACATGATTATCTATCGTTATGTTAAATAATAATCAAGACAAATGAAATCAATCCATCCATCAAGGTAAACTAAAGCTCACCTTCTCGTTATGTTTCACAAAGGTGGGCAAATTAACAACGCTTCTGAATTTGATATCTCCATTCAGTGGATCCTCAGTGGTGGTACTGAGAATCTGCAAAAGGTACTCCGGTGTGTGTCCGCTCTTCAGCATCCTCCTAAGCTCCTCCACCCCAGGGAACTCATCCTCGGGACTTGCTATAGATCTATCGCACTCGGACTTGGTAGTGGACTTCTTCGGTGTCGTTCCATTCTGTTTCTGCTGCTCGATGATCCACCACTCTGGATCACGCATCACGGTCCCGCAGACGATCATGTTGAAGAAGGTGCCAGCTAACATCAGACAGGTACCACGCCATCCGTACTCCTCGATGAAGAAGGTGGTCATGGGGGCGTAGACGAAGGTACCGATACCAGTGCCACAGGCGCCTAGACCTACAGCTAGGGTTCGTTTCTTGTCGAACCAATACGCGATGCTCACGACCGCAGTGACGTAGCACAGACCCAGACCGATACCCGCAATCACTCCAAAAGTTAAGTACATTACCTCGATGGTGTTGCTGAAACAACTGAGCACGAAGCCGATGCCGGAGATCAAACCACCGAGAATAGTCATGGCCCTGCATCCGTAACGATCAACCAACGCAGACATAATAGGACCTGACAAAAGTGGTACCGCCATGAACAACGAACCTATCCAAGCGGTCTTCGACTTGGACGCACCGAATTCCTGAAGGAATTCAATGTACAACAATCCGAAACTGAAAGACACACCATCGGCTATCATGGAGATGATCAGAGAAGCTAATACAACCACCCAACCCCAACCACCGTCAGGTACTTTAGGCTTGACCGTCTGGTTCTTAGCTAAATCCCCATCCAAGTCTAAATCAGAGTCAATGGAATCTCTACAATCATCCTCTCTGAAGCCTGGATTCGGGGTGATGATGGTTCTGGTATCTGGGTAGCTCTGAAAATTGCTTATCTCTTCGGTTCTGTGAATCGGATGGGATTCGAAGTTCAACGCTGCTAATTCGTGCTTGTTAGTGGGACTTGGTCCTAGCGTTAGATTAGGGGAGCTGAGGTAGCTGGTTTCCATAGGGGTAGGCGGTACCCTGTCCTCGGTGCAGTCCGTTCCAGGGCTGAGTAGATCAATCTTATCCTCAAGATCATCGGCCAAGCTTAGATCCTTGCTCCTTCCTATTTCTGGTGACAAAGTTAAGAAGGTGTCTTTGTCAGGCGACAAAGATTCCACGCTTCTGTCGATGGTGCGTGCCGGTGTAGACTGAAGGAGTCTTTCGTCGGCCAGACTGCTGAGATCCTCGGTGTTACCAGAATCCTGGCATATACCTGAACTCTTCGTGGACACGACGCTTTGGGAACGAGACAGATCGATCGTCTCCAGTGTGTCTGGGTCAGGTGTGCCGCACGGTGTGCTTGGAAACACCGTTGGACTTCCATTTTGCCAACCAACGATGGGCGCTCTCTTCGGATGACGACCATTCAAATTAGTTTGATCTTTGTAATGATTGACGGGTCTTTGAAAATAATTCGAATCCTTGATCACGCATAATCCTCCGTCCTTCTTGACGATGTTCCTTGAACCATTACCATGAATATCGTTATTGTTGTTCCAATTGCAAGCAGGTTTATAGGGTATAGGTTGTCCGCTCGATTCATCCTCGGTTTCGCATAAGAAATTCTCGTTTCTGTCGGTCATATTTATTCTAAATATAAGTACTGGCCGAGTGGATCCAACGACGGGGCCAGCCCTTCAGCCCTTGGATCTCGCTCGGGAATGGTCCTCCACGGCCTTCAGCTACCATAAGGACTTCCCAGCCGATCTTGGGTGGGTCACTAAACTTTGCTGTCCTCAGCATGCACGCTTCGTCTTCGTTCTTCTTCTGAAAGAAAATTTATCGTTAGTAATATTGAAATAAAGAATTCAAATTTTAAATTTTGCTATGTGTCGCAATAACCAAATGTATCAGCTTGATAATTATGAAGAACAAAATAAGAAAATAAAAATGGGTTAGATACTATTATTGGAGACACGTGCGGAGGTGAAATTGATAAACAGATTACCGGTCGTTGCTCTCGCGCAACCGCGCTGCTTAAATAATTACAAGGCTGTAACTAATTAACGTGCGAAATTAGAGAAAGTAAGTAATCGTAGGTATATAAAAATAGGCGTTTACTTACCATTGAGGTAATACAGGATCACTTATAAGGCGTGCATGCGTGTATTGGTGCAGGAATGTGCATGCGACACTGAACGGTGTGAGCAAAGAAAAAATAATCAATAGAAAAAAAAAGAAATAAAAGGGCATTACGATCGCGATCAATTGTCTGTGCTAAAAAAGAAGCAGAGCATGCGAGATAATTAAAACAATTCATTAGCTGCAAAAAAATAAGGTACTTGGCGGTGAATGAAAAAATTATAATTCCTGAAATAACATGAAAATTATTATACAATTACTACTTGAAAAATACTTAAATTAAATAAATTTTTTACATTCCTATTTTCACTCCAGTTCCAATATCATATTCAGTTTATACGCGATTACAAGAATATTTGCCGTCAAAGATTACAAACGTATTTTCGTTATCTGATGTCGGTTTGAAGAAACAATGGAATGGTAGCGTTTGATTAGAAGGCGATACTTCAACGAACCACTATCTGACAATGAGTGTTTATTTTATAAAAACGGAAATCACAGCTAGCAGATTTGAGTAACATATTCAGGGGCGAATCCATAAGATCTGCTTAAAAAATGTTGAAATCATTTCTTGAATAATTTCAATGTTGTTTAATATTTTTATCCAATAGTAGCATATATAATAAAATTGCTTATATATAATATAAGAAACAAAATAATTACAATACGTGTGATTAAATAATATATTTTATATCAATTTTATATAATTCTAATATCCATGGGTCCTCCTTTAGATACGCCCCTGAGTTTATCAGTAGTTTGATCATTGACACGTAAGAGCATTATCCTAAAACACTTTATCAATTATCGCTTATATAAATACGAGGAGGTCGACTTTTGTGCTAAGTATCTACATGGAGGTTGATAAAAGCAGCCATGAATCACCTGTTAACACTTGTGTCAATAACCGGCTACCCTTTTGCTTTTTACTACTTCAAATGTTTTACATTCCTAGCGAAAAGATCAATAAATATCTCTAGACTCGCGTTATTTGATAAATACCTCATCGAATAATAACTTTTTTTAGGTATATAGCTATATTACCCCACTTCCGGGAGGACTTATGCCAAGATTTCCGTTTTCACAAATTATTTTAAGAGAACTGTGTCACCGGGTTACTAGATTGCCAGCTTCTCAGAAATAAGAAGTAATGGCAAAGTTTAATCGTATGATTTATAATTTTATGAGAGAATCGATGAAGATTCAATCGATACGGCTATATTAAGCTATAATTCTACCCTTTTCATTGTTCTTCCCACGAAGACGTTTCATTAGTCGAAGAACCTTGAACTTTCAATGCAAATGTGAATGAACAGTCGTACAAATTTTTGTTTATTTTTTTCTTTTTATCTAAATACATTTTTAATATTATAATCCACAATTGGTTAATATCGGTATTAATATCAGAGACGAAATTTCCGGAATTGATATCAATTCGATAACTGATCTCACGTTTGTATGATCATTTTTATCGAACTTCTAATTTTAAATTGATACGCTGTAAGTGGTATTTTATGATATTTTTAAAATTGTCTATAACTTTGTACATTTCAAAATTCATCATTATTTATTATAATTGGCAATCAGGTCTTGTATCTCCCATTAAAAAATAAGAAAAAAAGATGAAGAGATGTGAAAAAAGAAATCAAGTAGTATATCTGATGACACAGATCAGTCTCGCACATGTAATATCTTGAGTAATTCTACTTGAACTGTCTGCTTCATTCAATAATACGAACGATGCTGAATATTTAGAGAGATAATAAATCTTTCCAATCTGAAGTGATCGGTTGTTTAAGATAGAAACAAATATCAATGATAAAAAAAAGGGAAAATAACATAAAATCATATTTAGACATTGATTCTTCATTGATATCGTATTGAAAATATTTCTTTGTGTATTTTATCATTTTTGCGTTTGAAATTGTTATAGAATTGATTATTCTTCTGCTAAGTGGACCTTCACCTACAAGGTGTGGCTCTAACTTTAAGGTTATCTTATCAGAAAGCGAATTTAAAATGGCCATTATTAGCCTGCACGCGATGATTTCTTAATCTCTATTATATCATTCTTCATTGACTACTAAACTATTTTTATGTATTTAAACATTAATAATATAAAATTTCATAACATTAATATGGTTATGCGTATTCATTTTCTGTCTCTGACGATATAAGTTATGTCACGCATGTGACTCAACCTTTCTAAGAAAGGGGTTAACTTTCAGAAAAGCAATAAGAATCTGTGACGTAAAACGCTCGATAAAAATGGCTATGTAGTTTATCAGGATAAAGAGGTTAGGTCACCGCGATGCTTTTTGGCTGATCTACAAAAATGTGAACGCCTTTTTGTGTGTTTGTACGCACAGGAAGTTTCAGGAGCGGCTAAGGTGGGTGATCGAGGGGAGTCACCATGGCGACCGCCTGGTCGATTTCAACGTCTCTCTATCGGAGGAAATTTAACAACCGAGATGTCTTTCTATAGACAGATCTATTTTTCAATTAATCAACGATTCAGAATGTTTGTAAATTTTTATACGCACGAAATCTAATTGATTCAGGTTGGAGAATTGTCTATAGCTTACCGTCGTTAAATGCATTAAATTAATAAATAAAGGAAGAAAATAGATAAGCATATAAAATGATTCTACATCTTCATAAAAATTAACATAGAGTTTGTTTAAAATGAAAAGTCTGCAGTCCGTCAATTTTATGGTTTAGTTGCTCCACTGTTAACACGTTGACTACCACAGTAGAAATAACCATGTATGGTCAGACAAGTTATAATTACAAATATTCAAACTGCGATAATTTCATTAATCAAATTAAGCTTATGTAAATAGTACATTAGCATTATATAAAATTGTTTTCAATTGTAAGAATTGAATCCTGAGTAATTATAATGTGTCTGACTACATATGATTTTTTCTACTGGGGCACTCAACGTATTGAACTTAAGGTGTCGATCACCAATGCCCAATATGAAATGGAATGTATTAATTAGGAAATTACATTGTTAATAAAAAAAGATAGAACACAATTGGTGGTATATATACATAAGCCCTGTAGAATACGCTTATCTACATTATTAAGTTTCGGTCCATGACATAACCTATTCTTATTAAGTCAGTAATGCGATCACTTTAAGTCCGGTACAATGTAAATACAGCATGGAATAAATGTTTCATTGCCGCTTCCACGTATAATCGCTTTTTAGCGCTTCGTCAATCGATACTATATACATCGGATATTATACGAAAGATCTAGGTCAAAGAAATTGGATAACAGTAAGTGGTTCAAAACACATTCAAAAAGCGGTAATTATCTTACTGATAACGAGAAGAGATCGTACGATACATGATCATATTTCAATGTCTGTCGATCAAATCTATCGTGTTAAACAGATACTTTTGTTTAATAGTTCGTATCGTTGGCTAAAACGCAATTACAAAAAAATGTCCATGTTTTCTTTATCATAGAAATGAAATAATTAAAATTTTTTCAAAAGTATGCATGTACTTTTGAAATAAATAAACCGTATTTGTGTTAAATTTCAAAAGTGAATCGAGCAACATAGTACAATCGATTAATCTGATATGAATTATTCAAATCGATCTATCGCAAAATCGAATACTTCCGCCATTAATCTTTTCCGTTATTGAAAGTATATTTATCTAATTATAATAATTCAAATTTACATACACCCCATGCACTAATATTTACAAGCGAATAATAAAAATAAGAATGTAAAGATTCATTAAAAACTTCATACGTATAGATGCAGGCAACAAAAGAGAAAACTTACAAATGCTAAGACAATATATGAAAACATAAAATCCGCTATGCAATTGCATGCTCGTTTTTCATATTTTTTTCTACTTTAATAAACAAAATCTAGTAGTTGAATTGTTAACTTACCCACGAGAAATGTTCCCAGGGTTTTCGCGGTGTTTTCGCTTACTGTGACAGCGAACGGTCGATGAAAATTCTTCGATTCACTGAAAGATTTATTCGATGCGAGTCGTTTAGCCAGCTTCCAGTCTGGTGATATTACTTTTCGATCGATATCCACCGTGTAACGTGCTGTCACAAAATGCAAACCTTTTTCTTTATTACATGTGCATAACCAACCACTTCGATTGAACGCGCCCTGAGTACTGAAATAGAGTTGAACAGCGCTGCTGGCGTTCGCGTCATTAAATTGCTTCTCAGTGTGTACACCTGTGACTAAAAGAGGGCGCAACTCGTTTCCTTGTACACTAATACACTATTCGTTTATTAGATTTGAAATAATACTTATTATAACGATAGGATCTTGATTTTAAATTCTCTTTTTCTCTTTCTGCTGCTGACAAAATAATTGGCGAATTAACTGGTTGACCGATGTACTGGAAATGGTTCTCCGAGTTCGTGCGGTTTTCATTTTGCAGGCTCGTAATACCTCATGAATTTAATCGTTGTTTTGAAGTCATTGAAGGTGCCCGTGACATTCTATACCGTTTATGGAAAACATTACGTTGCGGATAGAACAGGACATAAATGATTTTCACAATTCTAGAAGGGCAATTTTATCATAAATGATGAGTCACATTCTGGTCGTCTATTTCAGTTCGACGAGGAGGAGCACTAAGAAGCTCTACTTTATAATGGTCCACAACAATCAGCTTGTGAATTAACTGAGAAGATCATCTAAATGGGTTTTCCTTTCGTAACGATATGGAACTGTGAAGAATAACAAAGAATAATAGAGTCGAAACTTAAATTAAAAAAGTAACTATTGGTATCTTTGGTAATTAAAGTTTTGATATGCCTGACCACATGTGCCCCTTTCTACTGCAGTAATTAAGGAGTTGACGTGTACGTACAAACGGTTGCCGGCAACACGGCGCGCTCCAATTATAAATAATTTAAATTACCATATTTCATTTTCTAATTTTTTTTTTATACAATATTAATTATATTTAGAATTTGATGCTTCTTTCAGTTACTCTATAATACTGAATTCGTAGTGATGGTCACTGGTGGCCCCCTAAGGCATTCAACGTGTTAATTACGCAAAGTAGTAAATGGAAAGTTTAAATTGAAGAATAAAACGATCATATATAAGATGTCTACAGAAATAACTACTAAAGAGTGAATGCTACAAACAAAGTTATACAGAACCGTTTTCATTATGGCATACTAGATATTATAACCACTTGCAGAATTTGTATTTGCATAATGATGAGCGTTAATTAGCTACAGATCCGTAAATGTTTATTTTTGTACCGATGCGAACGTTTAAATGAGATGTGTGGATGCGTAGAAATTCATACGGTATCAGGACCTAAAAAGATACAAAAAAATGTATAGTTGTAATTTAATTTTTATTTTAGTTGAAATAAGATCTTTATAGTTTTTTGTACGTGTTGAATAGTATACGTTTATACGTGAATGTGTGTACGTTTTGTGTGTCTGTATCGTGTGTGTAGCCATGTGCATATATACGCATGCATATAATTCAAAAATGGGTTGTTTTCTATTAAAGTCTAAAAAGGAGTCTTAACGTAAGTCTCCGGATTCCATTTTTAATGGAACAGCTTGCCTGTAATTGTGACAAAACCATTCTTTTAGTAGGACAATCGTGTGCAGTAAATTATAAATTTTTAAGAAATAAAACATACCATCACAATATCGAATAAATTTCAAAATAAACTGCTTCTATTATTACCTCCTATTCTGTTAAACAATAAAATAAAAATAATAAAATAAGAATAATTCTACAGAACTATAACAAACTACTGTTCATAATGTTTCAAATAACCAATATAATTAATGTTCCTGGGGAAACAGATTATAATTTGTTCATTTTAAAACTGCTCACGAGAGTCCGTTCTACGAACAATCATAAAGATCGTTCATTTTTGGACCACATAGCAAGCAACAGTTGTAATATGCCTCTTTAGTTCTCTAAAATATTTATACAAAACTAAAAGACTGGTTTTGCTCGAATTTCCCTGTTTAACAGTTTGAAAGAAACTCTTAACGCACTTGTGTCATACCGTGAACTCAATTTTTCATCTTTTTTTTTTTTCTTGTCTCTGCACAGACTTTAAGCCACTTTCAAACGTTCAAGCGATTGTTTCGAGGTTATCAACAATGGGTAATAGGATATTTTATTAATAAAGAAATAGTAAGAACATTCTGGTTATTAACAATATTTGATTTCACCTATCGTTATACCCAAATTATTAAATAAGTTAATTGAAATGTGGGGAAACGTAGACTGCTGCTGCACGGGTCACAGGTGTGCAGGGGCACTTATTCATTTTATAAGTAATTCAGAAATTAAGACCTAATATTTTAAAATACAATAAGCTTTGGAATAAGCAATAAATTTGTTCATAACCAGAAGTCCTCATTAATTCCTTTTTACAAAAAATTTGTCATCCTACACCTCGGCCTTAACAACTACTTATACTACTTGACGAAAGTCTTTGACCAAAGATGGCCGTTCGACTTAATCTTGTATATTTGAAATGCAGTTTTTTTTTGTTTTCATAATAAAATATTGTTTTATACGTTTCGTAGACGCCTGTAAGGCCGCGTATGCATAATTACGCTACCATAACGCGAGCACACGCACTGTAGAACAAGTTATTGCACCACAATTAAACGATAAATTATCAAGGTAATTACCATGGTAAAAAATCGCTCGACATTAATCGACAAAAATGACTAAAATCTAAAATGAACTCTCACTTATTCGAGATTCTATCCACATTTGTAAATTAATACCAAGCTTCGCCTGATCATTTCTGACTTTAGTCGCAACGCATACAATAGATAAACATTAACATTTACAATTTTATTTGAAAAAATGGAATTGCTTACTCGTTTGGAAGAAAATTCTATAATTATGAAATTTTCTCGCAAGAAGGCCTCATATAGTCGATACGTGTAATATAAGTAAAAATTCCGAAAGAAATATCTTTTAAATGCACATAAGGTTCTAGAAATATTGTATCGTTTCAGGGGATTGATTACGTTTAAGTCCTATATTCGTACAAACTTTACGTCATAATTTTCATTGTTCCGGTAGATAATATTCTTCGGTCGTACGTTTACCTCGTCTGAGAATTGAGACAAAATGAATCATATGGTCAACAATATCCCTGTACGATGTCGTTACGCTATAATATTGCTTCAAGTTATTTCAGATGAACATGTAAACAGCGGTGCAAATAAATTGATAAACGCATTGATCCGAGTAATGTATACACGCACGCACGCACACGCTATGGGAACGAAGGTATTTAATCTATTTTGTAGCTCGAAAAACTTCGTAAAATTCATCATCACAGAAAGCTATACATATGTGTATATATATATACAGCAGATACATTATACGTGTACATACATATACATATACGCTTATTTACATATATGTCCTTTAAAACCTTGCATGCACAAACGCACATGAGCTGAAGAAAAAATTAATCGGAAGAGGAACGAAAGAGAAATATACTGAGAACTAAAATTCAAATAACTAATCGAGCGTTATCCAGCTTGATTAATCTCACTTTTTTGTCTTTGATCTAAGAAACTAATATACGAAGAGAACAGTACAGCAGAGAGCGCGCTAGGGATCCCTAGAGTAAATGACGGGAATTTTTTAAATTCTAAATTTTTAGAATGAATACAATTCTTAATTCTAAATATTATAAAATTTACTACACAACTAAGAAATATTAGTAATAGAATAAATATTAATTCGAATTTTCCCGAATAAATGTTTCCACACGTGCGATGGAAATTTCCCCTAGGGAAACCTACTGTGCTCGACGCTGCACAATATCAATGTGTATGCGACAGTGTAAGGGGTGTGAAACGCGTCCTCTGTTTCGACATAATTAGCAGGAAAATCAATAGAACGACGAAAATAATAATGGCTAATAATACGTTATCAATGTTATATACCTTGACGATGTACCGCACACGACACATGTATTTACAATGATATATATCTTTGGCGTTATTTTCAAATAACTTGTCAAACGTGATGTGAAATTGAACGATGCAATCAGAATTTCGTTATCTTATGCGTAGTAACGGTTGAACGTTTCATCAACTTAGTAATTTTATCTTTTACGATTATCCTGAGATTCAAACTTTTCTTAATTGTCCATCATTCGATATAGAAAGGAAAACTCCATTTTGCAGTATATATTCGACTGTTCGCTAAAAAAAGCTTCAAGTATTCTTCACTTACATTCTATCGTGATCTACGCACAGCTAATCGTAAATTTCAGTTTTCCTTTGCTTGAATATCTTATAATCAATTATAGTTTTTTTTTTTTTTGAAATCTTATGGAAGATGGTTGATGGTATGATTGAACCGATATCGGGGTACGAACATTATATCAAATGTCGTACAATGATGGTCTTCGGTATTTCATTCTTTCACGCTGCAGAGAAAATGAAAAATATTTCTTGATGAATTTTCTTTATGAAAATTGATTTACGTGTTGACTTTTATTATTTCGCATATACACGTATCTTATGCTACTAAGGAACCACGAATATTTCATTGTAACTGGTTCAACGTAACGGCGGGGAAAAAGTATCCGCCATAAAATTGAAATTATACAGCAGCAAAATTGCAATTCCTTATTCTTTTTTTTTTTTTGGAAGTGTTGTTATATAAATTCCATTGAATTGATCATACATAGTCATCGTTTACATCTTTCCTTCGAAACTCTCTTTTTGTTCGTTCAAACGCTGTTCATGCTCGAGAAATCTTTGTCTGTCTCTTCTTTCTTTGATCCGTTCAAACATTTTCGATACAGGCTAATTAAAGGCATTGCCAGCAGTAGCACACCGCTTAAAGCGATAAAGAAACCGGCCAAGTAAAATGATAGATCGTACGTGCCTGTTATGTCGTATAGCCAGCCTGAAACAATTTCAATGGAAAAGGGTTCTATGAAGTTTGAAATAACGCAATGATAGAAATTTCTTATTATATTTGAAACAATTGAAATATGTTTAAATCCTTTCACTCTTACCAGCCAGTGGAGGACCCATAAGATTAGCAACACCCTGAACCAAAAGCAAAAGTCCATAGGCGTTGGTGAATCTTTCCAATGTGATCAATTCGACAAGGATGATACTGGTAAGACTGTAATTCGCCCCAATAAATAATCCAAAGGCACCAGAGATTGCACACAAAGAATAGTAACTGCCGATCACCACGGGTATCAAAGCAGTCACTGCTCCACAAAGAGCCATACATACTGCGTACACAATTGATGCGTTTACCCATGCCCTGTCACCAGCCCAACCAAGAATAATCTGAAAAAAAAAAAAAAAATAAATAACGCCAAGTTAAATACAACACCGTAATTCGTTTCTTTTTAACGTTCGCTTTTTCTAGTACTAATAGTTGAAATAATGGAGTAAGGTAATTAAATTTGAATTAGAGAGAATTCTAATGGAAATACAGGAATGAGATAGGACTTTGGGAGCTTTTTCTTTTTATACACCACCATATATCTAGATTCCATCGAATCGATAATCGACAGGGATAACTTTTCTCAGAATTATTCCTCTATGGTAATCTCGTGCAACCCTTGCGTGACGTAAGCTCAGGGTCAAGGGGAGTTTATAATCAAATGAGATTAGGGAAGGTGAAAGGGACTGACGTGCGCCACCTAACTAATCTAAGACCAGTTTGACGCAATAGAAACCTCCGAGAATTCTCTCTGACATAATACAACAAAGTATAAGATAGAAACTATAAGGACTATAAAATTAACACTAAAGCTTGTTTAACTAATTTAGATTAACATTCAAGTAAACATTACTATTCTGGACCTTGGGGGATCCTAGGCCCAAAACCGTCCCTGTAAACTATTTAGTTTACTTTCAGTTTGATTCTATGTCATGTACAACAATGGTTTGCAAGTGAAATAAAAGTAAAAGAGTGATAATTTCAACCCCGTTCTGAAATGATGTCTTCATGAACCAGCAGCAGGTGGAAATAACCATTCTTTGTTGACCGATAAACATCAGTGAGGCGGACTAATATTGGCACACATAAAGGAACAAAGTAGGGAGGAGAAAGGCTGTTCAACATTGAACATCGATATTTGGACTTTATCGACGTGGTCGTTGTGGCAAACTGTATTGTTATTAACGAGATGTATCTAGTTAGGGAAAGTGGAATAAAATAAGGTATAAAAATGATGCATTACCTCACCGCCCATGTTAGTGATTCCTATAACCGATATCAAGATGGAGGCATCGGTCTCGCTGAATCCCATCTCTATGGCGTTGTCCGTTAGATAC